GAACATGTGTCCACACACAAGCTTAGACATGAGTATTCATAGCCATTTGCTTATGGTAGCCTCAAAGTGGGGATAACCGAAATGCCCCTCTGATGATGGGTGGCAAAAGGAAAGTGGTAAGGGACGTGCAATGAAGTATTTTTCAGGCGTGTGAAGGATTGGGAACTGATCAAGATCCGAGCATGAATATAGAAATGCCATGCTAAGTGAGTGAAGCCAGTCATGGAAGACCACACACTTTCTGCTTACGTGTGATGCCCGTAAGGGTTCTCTCTGCGCGGAAGCCCTGCCCAACCCTTTCCTGCCTAGCTATAGGTCCTTCAGCTTTTTATCAGACCACCTTGGGCAGGCCAGGTGAAACAGCTGCAGCGCATCTTTACATAACTAAACAAATGCAGCAGAAACAAAAGGAACACATCTCTGCACAGTTAAAGTGATAGTCCACAGCATAAACAAATGTAACACATCTTTGCCTAGTTAAAATAATATTCTACAACACATGGCAGTGGCTGCCTGGGGAGACAAAAAGGACTGTGTTTTCTAGAAACACCCAGAAATCGAAGTTTTGATTCCTCTCGGCAAGAATGCCTGGATTAGCCTCGGTGTCTGAGGATTTCTGTGCCCCACATCTTTGTCCTGGCCACACTGTTTCTAAAACTGTCCTTAAACAGACTCATGCATCTCTCCTGTGGGTCTTCCTCCACTTCCCTATAAAACTTAAGACATCTATCTGTTCAAACCTGCCGACAGCCTCCACCCCTGTCTGACCTCTGTGCTGACCCGAGGCTGCCCTCACTCCCCTCTGGTGGCCTCACTTTCATTCCACAAAGATGAGTGGAAGATTGGAAGTGTGTGTTATAAGTAGCCTCCTCTACATGGTTTCCCTCTCTTGATCGAGAACTCCAGTTTTTCCAGCTAGCCACTCCTATCCCAAGAGAAAACTGAGTCAAACCCTGCTTGGAAGCTAGCCCAAGAGCAATGGAGACAAGGTGTAAGTGATGGCCAGGAGCCCCACCATCTATAGCAGTGACTGCTGCAGACATGAATGTGACAAACACTGAACAACGACTCAGAGTCAAGTGTGGTGCAGAGGCAGGTGAGAAGAGCTAGCTGCTCGCCACTTGCTGCCTATCAAGAGGGAGGGCAGCTCTTAGAGCAGGCAGAGCAAGGCAGGGCAGGGAGGAACACCAGGCATCTACCTGCTGTCAGTCTGCCGCGTTATATGTTGTTCCAGAAGTTGATCCCTGTACTCCTTTACACCCACCGGAGACTGGCTTTCTGAGACCTGCCACTGCAAGGGCTAATAAATACACAAAGTGCCTGTCTCTTAGAGAGGCAGAAGAACACAGTCTTCTACCTGCTGGCACCCCAAGTTGAGACTTTCTCAGCTTGTTCACTCTTGGAGATGCTACATAGCTTGGGCAAAATGTCACGACAAAATATAGTAGATAGATGATAGATAGATAGATAGATAGATAGATAGATAGATAGATGAGAGATGAGAGATGAGAGATAGACAGATATAGATAGATAGATAGATGATAGATGATATAGATACATACATAGATTGATAGATGGATGGATAGATAGATAGATAGATAGATAGATAGATAGATAGATAGATAGATAGATAGATAGATAGAGATAGATAGATAGATGATAGATAGATAGATAGATATGGGAGAGGGAGGTAGAGATTAGTGCTAGTTGGTATCTCACCAAAATCTCCGCAGTAGTCACAGCTGCCAAAAATCTCATCCAAAAAGTAACAATAATGAGAGGGACGCATGCAAAATATTTCGCTTGAAGAACACTCATCCTGAAGGCTTACGTGAAATTATTCCTAATGTTTTCCCTGACTTTAAACTCCACCACTTCAGTTTTCAAAAATCCAGCCAACCATGAAAAACCAAAAGACACAGCTCAGATCACTGAACCATATATTAGCAACCACAGCGACAACTCCATTCTCTACGGCAACAAATAACCACAATGCCATCCTGCGTGATTATTGCTAATCTTTGATACAAACTCAGAAATCCAGGTGATGTTGACCCAAATGTCCTAAAGACTTCCTTCTCGGGGAAGATATCCATATTCCTACATAGATTAATCCATGCCGTGGTTGTACTTCTGTTTCCCCTGAGTACTGTGCCGTAATTGTAACATGAAGAGCACATGGCGTAAGACACGTGTGTCAACCCAAATGCATCCCTCCACTTCAATAAGCCTGGTACTCGCCATTTGGTGAGTCCTCTTCCCGGCAAGGGGCACAGCTTTTAGCTTTTAAATCAGCTATTATCGTGAAAGCCTTTTCCATCGCAGCGTCTAACAATCCAACGCGCCGCCTATTAGAGTTTGTTTCGGTTATTTTTGATATTCTGTGGAGAGTGTGAGGTACCCTTTCCTGCTTAGAGGGGAAATTTCCCCTCTTTGAACCTGAAATGCTTTCAAAGAGGAGAGATATTGCCTTTCAAGAGGAATAAAGCTGCCCTCGTCTTAAGAGCCCGTGATGGTCTCCAAAGACTCCTAATGCGGAGAAAAGCATTAGCCACTCACATGTCCTCCTTAATGAGTCCTTAGCTCATAGCTGGCCGAGGTAAATGTCACACACTTAGGAATTATTTTTCTTTGTTAAAAAAAAAAGTCTGTCTGATCTCCACACTGTCCTTTCCTATCTCCGCTGATCCTGCACAACACGCTTGTGGGATGTACATATCTCTTATTACCGTTCTCGAGGTTAACACAAATCACACCTATATTTCTACTAAAGCTAGGGGACAATTACAAGCAAGTTGATAGACTAGGACATTCTTAGCTCTTATTTCCTCCCATAGAAACAATCTGGTAACCATTAAGAACCGAGTCTGAAGGGTTTCCCTCAGACTAGTGTGGCCCCCCGCTGGCGGGGTTATAGGACCGGGGTTTAGGGGAGTGGGCCACTAGAGCAGGTCCTTTGTCCTAGTCAGTAACTATTGCTACGGTGAAACACCATGACCAAAAGCAACTTGGGGAGGAAAGGGTTTAATTGGCTCTCAGGCGAGAGTCTGTTATCTAGGAGAACTGAGGCAGGCTCCAAGAGGCACGAACCAAAGCAGAGGCCATGGAGGAACACTCCTAATTGACTTGTTTCCCCTGGCCGCTTAGCCTGCTCTCTTACATAGCCCAGGACCAGCTGCCTGGGGGTGGCGCCGCCCACAATAGACTGGGCCCTCCTATATCAATCATTAATAAAGAAAATGCCCCCATTCTAATTGAGGCATTTTCTCAGTTAAGGTTCCCTCTTCCCAGATGACCCTGGCTTGTGTCCAGTTAACAAAAAACAAACCAACACAGAAGGTTCTGACCCATGGTGCAGAGTAGCGGTCCCTTCTACTAGGTGTCAGAGGAAGGGAGAGGTTTTCATAAGGAAGTCACAGTCGGGGCCACAGCCAGGCTGTCCTTGAGTCCTGGTGGCAAGAAGAGAGCAGAGAATTTCTTAGAAGGAATGTGTGCCTTTGGGGATATGGAGGAGAAGGGGCACAGTAAGTGAAGCTGTACACTTTATACCAGTGGGGATAAGCTGGAACCAGTTGACCCCTGATGCCCCAAAAGTCGGATAACTTGAAATTCGTAAACTTCCTTGGGGAAAATAAGAGTTGGTGGGGCCATTCTCCTGGAGTCTTTCTGGGAAGTCTGGGATCAGTCTAGGGACTAGAGATTCACAGACAGGCTCAGCTAAAGGAAGAAAAAGGCTTCTTCGGGTGGACGTGGCAGCTGCCTCTAAACCCAGAACTTGAGAAGGGGAAGACAGAGCAAGCTGGCGTGCTAGACTAGCAAAAGTGGGGTGCTCCAGGTTCAGTGTGAGCCCCTATCTCAATAAAGTGGGAAGCTATCAGGAAAGACATCCAGTGTCAACTTTGGGCACACACACAGGGCAGGGTCGGATCATACCCGTACGCACACCATTCATACAGGAAAGGATGGAGAGAGGGAGGCCCAGTAACAAGACGGCACTAATGTTGAGCCACAGCGCCCTCTAGCCTCCACAACTGGTATAGCTAAAGGGTTATGGAGAGCTGTCTACCTGGAAGGGACTGGATGGCAAGCTCCAACCCAGAAAGATGCATGACACAGCTCAAAACAGATTTGATATTTCCCGTTCTTTTGCCCACTGTGTGCCTGTCATTCGTTTGAGGTGTCGCCCAAACTTGGAGTTCTATGAAGGTTCAGATCTGTTCAGATCTAGCCCAGACTGGAGTCTACAGTTTGCCCACACAGAGTGATCCGTCAGGACTTTCTCCAATGTCCCCAGGCTTGGACATGATTATGGGTGGGTGATGAAGGCCAGGGGAATGAAAACTGACAAGATATGCCCTGGCCTCCTAGCTCCTCTGCATGCTGGAAGGGCTCATGGGTCTGTCCCCACCCCACCCTACCCACTGCTGCTGAAACTTGCACAGTAGGTGACGGGCATGTCTCGGCCATCTCTGGTCAGAGCTGGCAGCTGTGGCTGAGTGGCTGCTGGATTTCTCTGGCCCTCTGTCCTAGGGGTCTCACCTAACTCTAGCAATGTGTTCATAGTCGGGATCATCCCAGCAGCCGCTGGTTGGGGCCTGAGCCCGGCTCCTGGCATTGGCATTGCCAGCACAGTACCTAGGGGCTTGGGTCCCACCATCTGCGTCACTAATTCACTGCCTTCTTGGAACCTGTTTCGTCCCTTTATCTTCTGTGGTGACCAGTCACGCTTCTCCCCGGAGACTTCCTGCAAACAGGACTCCTGTCCTAGGCATCCGTACCCTCCTCCGAGCCCTTCCCATCCCATAGCTCTGAAGGTTGCGTCATGAAAGACGAAGAGTCTGGGAGGACTGAAGATGATCATCCTCTTGAAGGTTCTGGAAGCCTTGAAGCAGAGCCCCTTCACCTTTCAGCATTTCTGTTGCCGTGTCCCCACAGCTGTCTGACGTGATGGAAGCCAGCATGTGGGGGTCAACCTCTACAGACAATGACCAAGCAGACACTTGCCTTGAAAAAGAGTCTTTATTTAGTTTGCCTCATTATGAGGACAGACTGAGAGTGATTGACACTACAGGTTGAGAAAGTTGGCTATAAAATGGGGAAGGGGAACTAGCTAGAGAAATCACTGGTGCCCCAGTGTTTGGCTCCTAGGTGTGGGGGGTTGTCGACAGTGGTCTCGTTCTGCTATGTCCTTCCCAGCCTTCAGCCTGTAGACGCTGGGGGAACTTGGCCCCCCACCTTTCTCCTCTGCCGTCTCAACATACTTTGCCATGCATTCGTGCTAAGGAAAAACCTAGCCGCATTGTATCCAGGAGCAAAGCATCACAGGCTCATTCCTTCCGTCTTTTCTGGGAATCCGGGCACGTGGAATCAATGCCTGGGTGCGCTTTACTTCACATCTTAGTGCTTGGAGGTTGGCCACGGGCACCGCGTGTCTTCCTTCCCAGCGTGAAGGCGGCCACAGCTAGGACCACGGCCAGGAAGATTCCGCCAAAGATGGCAGGGGTGGGATAGGCTGCCTGGGCGTTAACTGGCTTCTCCACATCCTTCACTGCCAAGTCTGCGGAAGAAAAGAGAATGTGGTGATGGAGAAGGATAGGGCACAGACCGGAGAATGGCAGAGAGGACAAGGAATTGGATGGTTCTCATCAGAACTTTTCGGTTGAGACAGCTAAGGAAATGGGAGAAGGGGAAACCGAGGCTAGCCTCCACGAAGCAGCTGAGTGTTGGGCTAGAGAGATTTACACACCATTGTCTTGCCAGCGAGGGGAGTTAGGGAAGGGTCTTTGCAGGACTCAGACCTGGGCTTTGGGAGAACATTCTGGATTGGGTCTGCAGATGAGAGTTGTGGCATTTAAGCCAGTTGCGAAATGGTGACAAGAGCCCCAGGGGAAAGGAATGCAGGACCTGAGCTACTGTGGTGACTGCAGGCATACAGGAAAAATGGACATTGGGCCCCAACTGCCTCTTCATATAT